CAGAGCTGAGCTGCAGGGGAGGGACAGGAACCATCCCAAACCCCGGCACAACCTCCCCAGGAACTCCGGAGCTGTTTGTGGCAGCTCTGGGAATGCCAGGAGCCCTGCCAGGAGGAGCCCGGATCCATCCTGGGAGGAGCCCTGCAGCACCATCTGCTCCTTCGCAGGATTTACAGCTTTACCAGGGCAAAAAAACAAACTGCAAAGCCGGGCTTTAGCCCATCCTTCCCTCCGGAGCCTCTCACAAAAATCCCGATTTTTCATCGATACACTCAGAGCAAAGAGTGAAAATACGTGCTCCAGTAAGGGAGATGAAAAACTACTTCACGCAAAGCTTAATCAATTAATTAAAGGATAAAACTACTTCCTGCAAAGCTGAATTAATTAATTAAAAGGTCTACTGCCTCAATACAAGCAGCATCACCTGGCACTCTGCAATTCTCTCGTCCAGACACAGCAAAGCACAAGATTTTTCCGTGTGCAGCCCCATCTAAAGAACATTTCAACATCTGTATCAGATAATGTACACGGAGCTAATCAAGCTAATTAAGCAATTACAATAAAATGGCCACGGAGCTCAAAGGGGGGAATCAGGTCCATGAGCTCAGTGAGATGTGGGAGCTTCCCCCAGCAGCCCCAAGAAAACAGAATTTTTTTTTTTTTCCCCAAGAGCTTCCCAAGTTCCAGGACGAACCAGGAGAGCTGGGCTGGGGGGGCAGGACTGGCCAGGGAAATGTCCTGAGGCACCAGCCAGACACAAAATACAACAAAATGCAGATTTTAACCGGGCCTGCATTAACTTGTGCCTCACTCAGTATCTGAGGCATTTCCCCAACAATAATGAGAACCCTGCTCATGAAAAACTCCTTAACTCATGATTTAACTACCAAATATTAATGGAAACCTGATGTGTTTATCTGAAATGGCATTTTTTGATGAATTAGGCTGGAACACAAAGGGCAGATTCCTTTATTTCCATCCACTTCCTTTCTCACTAAGCCAACAAATTACTTTGATTTCCATCAATTCTCACAGACTAGGCCCTATCCAAAGTTTTTGAGCACAACCAAAGACAAACTTTTGCAAGATAAGGTCTGTGTATAAAACAGATTACTGCAATCTACATATATTTATAAATATATTAAAATTATAATGGTTATGTGGTGTAAGGATGTCTGAGACAACTTTCCTTCCTTCCCTTCTATTCCCAAGAATCAGATTCCAGCATTTAGACAAAGTGTAAATTTTTAACTTTGAAGTTTGCTGTTGCTCAGCTCAGTTTTAAACAACAAAATTACAGCAAGGATTTAAAGGAACACCTTTCCACCCAAAACATTTATATATTCAATTCATTCCATTTTTAACATTCAAATTGCTTTGAGTTTTGTATCTCTTCCATAAAGGTTAAGTAAACACAACAGAGGAAATATTTGGGAAAAAGGAACAGAGACAACATTCCCACCCAGCACAGGGATGAAGATCTACAGTGCTTGGGATTTGACAAATTGAGAGTTATTTTCTATTAAATTTTACACTCCACAAGGCTCCTCCACAATTCCAGATCCTCCTGTACTTGAAATCAAGCAGCATATGTAGCTCATTAAGGGAAAATGAAATTTTCCCCCAAAAAACCACCCTCTTTGCTGTAGAAATGCACAGTTACTCACACGTTTCTCTAACAACAAAATTATTTAGTCACAAACGGTATTTAAAAGAAGAAGAAGAAAAAAAAAGTGGTTACATTTAAGAGCAATAAATTTGGATGACTTTAAAACAGTTTATTATTGCCTGAGGGAAGGCAGTTAACATGTAATGCTTATTTCTGACTAAATCCAGATCAGAACCTCAAAAACTCAAAAGTTTGACTGAACAGGGAAGATGAACTCACCCTAAACCCACAGAAATCAGTTCCTAAACCTCTGCTGAGGCCCAGCCTTACCCAGGACTGCAGGAGCCCCAGTTTGTTGCATGGCAGAATTATCTCTGCTGCATTTTATTATCTTCACTGGATTTACTGCAAGGCTTCAGGAGCATTTCCAAAACAACTTGAGAAATAAGCATTAGAAAAGGCACTTCATGTGGATCTGAACAAGAATTTCAAGTTTTAACCCGTGGCACCTCAACCCAAGGCAGCAGAACTGCAAATGTTGGAATAAATTATCCCACAGTGTCTTATTCTTATGGGAAAGGACAACCTCAGTTCCTGCAGAGCTTTGCCCAAAATGTGATTCCTGCATCAGATCAACACCTTAATAACACCTAAATAATTCCCAGTTTTCCTTCCACAACCCTGCCAGAACCAAAATCCTGCAGTTCTCAGTAACTTGCTCCACTTCCCTGAGCTCCTTTAGATTTTTATAACCAAAAATCTCCAATGGGGCTGTCAGGGGTGGCTGTGCCCGTCCTGGCCTCAGGGATGGCAGCCCCTGGCTGCCTGTGACACACTGACCCAGTTCCAGCTGCCAGAACATCCTGGGCACCCTGAGCAGGGGCACAGGCAGCTCTGGCACAGCCCTGCAGCCCCAAACCCTGGCTCACCTGGCACAGGTACCCCAGGATCACCTGGAACAGGTACCCCGGGATCACCTGGCACAGGTACCCCGGGATCACCTGGCACAGGTACCCAAACCCTGGCTCACCTGGCACAGGTACCTTCAGATCTCACCTGGAACAGGTACCCCTGACTCACCTGACCCAGGTACCCCTGACTCACCTGGCACAGGTGCCCCCAGCACGCTCAGCCCCATTGCCCCCCCAGGTTTCTCCCATTTCACCCCTCTCAGCCAAAGCCAGGACCCCAGGAGTGCCAATTTAGAACCAGAACTAAACCCCAAGCTCCAGGTGAGACAACCTGAACCTCTCCCAGCTCTGTTTTATCTCTGGAAGCTGCAGCTCCAAACGTGACACTCCCCTCCCAGGCACAGCTGTGCTGCTTGTTCTGCCAACAGAGCTGAGATCAAATATGGGAAACTTCCTAAAAACT